TTTATATTAAATTATTTTTTATTGAGATGATGTAATTACAGGCATTTAAAAATTATTTGCAACTCACTGGCCCTGAGAATAGGCTTTTTTGTTTGTTTTTGTTTTGTTACATTCATTTGATTCAGTCCCTTAGCCCCACACCTTAAAAAACCAGAAGCCATCATCAATAAAAACATTAGAATTTTATTTTTTTTAAAAAAGACCTCGGACTCTGGATTTGCACACAGTTGCAGTCTGACAAAAGAGATCTGGAGGATGGATGCTTGAAGTCTGAAACCTGGGGAGGATGGCAGTGACTTAGTGTTCATGGAAAGGGCCCCAGTAGTGTTCTCTGGATGGAGAGACAGTCAACAGGTTTTAAACTTAAACCAAGAAGATGTTCTGCTGTGGAACTGCAGCGTGTCCTACCTGACTGGCCTGTGGCTTGTTCAGACTTGTAGCAAGCTGATGGCAATGAAGGTCCCACTTAACTGCACAGTGTGAAGAACCTTTGCTGGGTGTTGAGGACGGTAAGGACCTCTGGAGGTCATCTGGTCTAACCCCCTCTGCTCAAGCAGGGCCAGTTGCCCAGGACCATGTCCAAATGACTTCTGCATGTCTCCAAGGATGAGACGCTTTCTCCCACTTGCTTTGGTGGCAAAGGCAGATATCAGTGTTGGTAGAAAGACCTTTGCTAACCCTGATAGGCAGCAAACCATTCCTATAGCTCAGGATGTTCATGCTGTCTTTGCACTCCCACGTATCCACCATCTGGATGTGAGGTAGATGGGAATCTGCCTACTGCAGCTGCTCTAGCCTGGTTCTATTTTTTTATTTTTAGTCACACCTGGCAAACTTGTGCAAGACCCAAGAGAATCCTGCAGCTCCCACAATCGGTCCCAAGCCCCTGCAGTTCTGGCAGCTGCAGTGTCACCCACACCACCCACTTCTGCACCACACAGACCCAGCACAAGGCAGGAAAGGCCTGCTCCACATTCAAAGGCTATTTTCTTTGCAGCTAGCCTCATCCTTGAGAGAACGTCTCTGTGGTTGTGATGGACAAGGAGTTGTCTTAAGATGTCCTTTACATGTGAACTGGGAAGAGTTTCCAACAGCCACCAAACGCTATTTTTCCTTCGACGTAGATTCTGCAAGTGGAAGTGATTGCAGTTTTGGTAAAAGTGAACATTTCCCCTACAAAATTGCCATATGGGACAACATCTGCAATTTTCCTGTCTTACCCAGTGCTGAGGATGAACTTTGGTAGCACATACAATGAGCATATGGGTTTATACTGGTGGATTGTCTCTTGTTCTCTGCATTTTGCAGCGTGCACCTTGGCCATAACAAAAACCTATCACCATTTTTTCCCCTCTCACCATCTTGTAGCAGTAGCTGCAGCAGGCCAAAGAAAATAATGCAGTTACACAGTTGTCAAGACCAGAGCAGCAGAGTATGAATCATTCTCTGCACATACTTGGCTTCTTTCTACCACTGGACAACCTAAGAAACACAAGGAACCAGCAAGAGCTTTTCTTTACATTGGTACTTCTGATCACACTTCATCTGTTAAATTCACCACTTTGCCCCAGCTCCTGAGACATGGCTGCAACTTGGGTGCCCTTGAGCAGGGTGACAGAGTAACTGCTTTGTCCCTTGGTTTCAAGGGACTTTGGTTTCAGATCTGCGACCAGTGAAGTCCCTCAGTGTCTCCCAATCTCTCACCTCATGAGCTCCAAAAGGACTTCAGAGACAGGTGACACATTGCTGATACACACTCCCCTGTCCATTAGTTTGAAGAAGGTCAAGTACATGTGTGCTGGGACTCGTAACATACTGACTGTAATTTGACAGAAAAAACGTGGCTGGGAAAAGCTTAAGGAGAGATGTATTCCCTGTCATTCCTCATCAGATACTGGCTCTGAAAAATCTCTCCTTGCTGTATGATGCTTATCTACACCCTTAAGAAAGCTGTTCCTTCTACGACCTGTGACTCAATATTAAGTCTTTTGCGAGATTGGCCTATCTCTGTTTAAACACATGGGACACTATTCATTGCCAAGTGCCATTTTTTCCTGGACAGATTAACCTTCTTGTTAAATATGTGGAAAGATCAAATGTTGTGTTGGTTTAATAGCTGATAAAAGCTCTATCATAGAAATGTACCTTGTTTTTTGGTTGAAACAGATTAGATTAGCCTATTGATTTTTTCCATATCTAGTATGCATATCCAGTATGCATTCCATATCCAGTATCTCATAAAAGAGACTTTCTGCATTTAATGAACTGGTGTGGATGTGCTTTCTTCTAGACACCACGTGATTCCTACATGGCTTCTCTATACACCTTCTCCCTTCACAAGCATCATTTCTGCTGCTAGATCTTCCTTCCATTAAAAGGACACTGCTGACGGATCACTGGACACCACAAATGTTCCTGTCATGGTGGTCCAAGCAATGTAAAGGCAAACAGGACAGCAGATTCTCTTGCCTTGGGCATTAAGGACTGCTGAGCTTTCTGTGACCAAACTAGGCATAGCTCATGCAAAGCACCCTCAGTGCAGCAACCAAATCGAGGCACCTTTCAACCAGCAACATGGCTCTAGGGTTTGCTTTTTTCTTCTCTTTTCAATATGGTAAAATCAGGCAAGCTGAGACAAGCTTCCTTTGATGGCAGACCTGCAGGGTAGGGGAGGGCAGTGGGAGGCATAAAAAAACCAAATCCCGAATCAAAGCCAAAATCAATTACAAGATGTAAGTATAGCTATTTGGTCTCTAACATCAGCTTTCAGATTCGTGAATCATCTGCCTCTTCAGCAGCACAAAATGATCCTGGAGATGTTTTTGAGTAATGAAAACCATGTGATGAGTCCCTTTGCTTTCTCCCTATGATGTAAGGAACAGTCCTTCACCTTTCACCCCAAAATTGCTGGCAGGTATAAGAAACACCCCTTCCTTTTGTAATTGCAGATGCTTCAATCTTCCCTTTTATAGAAAGCTTTGAGGTGAAATCCTGCATTGTGAATATACTGGGGTGGTTACATCACACACACACATACATACGTGCATATATATATATATGAAACATTTATATATATATGTATACACACATATATATGTATTTGTCCCCACCCTCCCTTCCCCCTGCTCCATTCTATCACTTCTTTGCCAGAAGGAGGGAAAATGTTAACTGATAAGTCTATTGCAGAGCTTTGTCACATTTATTTTTCTCCTCCCAGGAGCACTTAGGTGATTGGTTTTGGTCCATATTCCAGCAGTTAATAGCTACTCAGAGTACTTATTGTGAGCCCAAGCTATGCTGGGATGATAGCCCAGCCTACATGTGAAGGGGATCTCCTCTTCATTTGACAGGTATGTGTGGTAAATTCTTTTGGTAGCTTCAACACATTTCCCAGTGGCAGTACATGTAAATTGATCCGAGCAAACTGGAACCCTTGAGCAAATCCCTTCTGTGCAGCCATTGTTTATGCAGTGTTGTGTCATGAGACTTGCACAGAAAATAAGAGCACTCTATTTCCACAGGAAAGCCTTCCAGAAAAAAAAAATAAGAGAAGCATTATCTGATGTCTTGTCCTATGTGAGATAAGGAAAATCAAATTGCATGTTTATTAGGGAAAAAAAAAAACCACAAAAAAACCCCCAAAACTGAAACAAGCTGAAAAGAAGGAAAGAACTCAAGGGAGACTTTGTAGGAACAGTGAAGTAGTGCATAAGTCCAGGCTTTCTCCCCTTTACTTTTCTGCCAGCACCACTTCTGCCTGTTAGTTTGTTTTGTTAAGGTGCTTCAGGTCCTGCGTGGTCTTCAAGCTAAGCGGTGACCCCAAGTACTGCTTCTGTGTTGTTGCTTCCCCTCCCAAACCATGCCAACCATAGGGGCAGATGTTTCTCCCATGGATCCACAGGGGCAGTGCACTAGTTTCCTTCAGCACTCATCTTCTTGGTATATTTGTTCATCGAGTTCCTGGGACTCAAGGTGCTCGAGGCGGTCTGTTCGGCCACTCATAATCTCATCTGGGGTCTTCATGAACCTGCAAAACAGAGAAACAAGTGGATTTCCCAGTGGTCTCAGCTTTTATCTTCATCAAGTTGTTGAGGCCCCTGAGTGACCAAGATGATCTTAGCTGCATCCTCCCAATGTATTTCCCAGCTTCTCCCCAGCCTACTGGTGTCTTCCCTCCTCCATACCTTGAAAGGAAACAAAGGAAATAACAGACATTTTACCCCTGCTCCTTGAAAGCCCAAATCTGAACTAAACCCCACAGTCTTTTCCAAGGTGTGGAGAGGCAGAGGGCTACTGCTTTGTGCAGGCCTGGTGTAGGTGAGCGAGAAGAATATGAAACACCAAAGGAACAGTGGTGGAAAAAGCCAAGTCAGAACAAGTTCTGGGAAATGGAAAAAGCCCTGAAAGAAAAAATCTCTTGGGCTAGGGAACTGTAAGCAAAGACAGACTCTTCCTGTGTGATTGCAGCAGGCATAATTGTACTGAAGCAGCATCCTCTGTAAATGATGGGGCTCCCAGCACTAATGTCTCAATGCAGTAAGTCTGCAGGGGGCTAGAAACAGAAACTGCCCCTGGGGAGGCATGGCAGCAGTAGGAAATGGGAAAGGATATCCACCAGCCTGCAGATCAAGTCTGCAGTCTTGATTTCTACCAGGATGCTTTTGTGCACTACTGCACAGAGGCAGCATGGAAAAGCTCTGCCTTTTCTTTTTGAATTTAATGGTGTAGGAAGAGAGAGTGGCACAGGAACGATGAGATCCTAGTTCCAAAACACATCACTTTCCTAACTCCTAAGTAGCTCTGGAGAAATTAGGATGAAAGATATTTATTACAAAATTTGTTACAAAATTTCATGGTCTTTCATTAAGGACGTACTGGTTAACATTCAGCAGTACAAAATGTGTTAATCACAAGAGCTGATTTTATTTCAGGTTGATGATATGCCCCGTATCCTTGCCCCAGTGAAAACAAAAACAACCAACAGGAGCCTTGTTACTAGCAGTGACCTGGAAAAATCACTGCTGAAGCCTCTCAGCAAACATAGCATAGCCTGGAACTAACCTTTTGCCATCCCTTCTAATTTTGGAAATCATGTGCATATATGCATTTAGGGAAAAACAAAAAAGGGTTGTGACTCACTGCTGTGTCACTCCCATTTGTGTGCTGTAAGGACACTGCTGATACAAATGGTGTTCTAGTGGTGAAAAACTCACATGCAGGAGTGGTGAATCAGCCCTTGGCTGCACAGTGAAAATGCACCAAAGCCTATGGGCCAGACTGTGCCCTGATTTAAACCCTGTGCTTGTCTTGTGGATCTCGCATGAGGATGAAATCAAAACAGAGAGTGACCCCACTGCCTCCCCTACCTTCTGTCTGCTCTGCTTCCCAAAGCATGTGGGAAATGGGCTAACATGAACTGCACCGCAGTACTTTAGTGTTCTAAGTTCTGTCAAGTAACTCAAAGCATGGGGATTTGCACTAGCATTTGGTTACATTTAAAAAAACCCAAAGCAATCCAGAACTACTAGCTAATTAAGAAGCAGTATCTGTGACCTATTCTGTTGCAGAAGACACTCAGGCAACCTATTAGAAATTCTTCTCTGACTCCATTTTACTTGAAGTTCTGTACAGATATCTGCAGATGACAACTGCCTGCATGTTACTTATAAAGTCACATTCCCTATTATTTCTGTGCTTGCAAGAAATAGCCAAGAAAGGCACATTAATGGCTTGATTCTTTGCAGCTGTTCTTTTTCTCCTCAGATATAAATAGGTCTAAGAAAACAACATCAAAAAGTTTTTATTGGGAATTGTGCAAAAAATGTTTGGCTGGTTTTTTTTTTTCTTCCAGTTTCCAAAGGAAATGAGGTTTACATGTTCATGTTTTATGCTCCCTGTTTACCTTTGAATCTGTTGGTCAATTTGGGCAAGTCTGACTTGCAATGGCAATTTGGGCAAGTCTGAGACCTCCAAGGGCATTGTGTTTCTACAGTTCTGTTGGTCAATTTGGGCAAGTCTGACAGAGGAACTGAGACCTCCAAGGGCATTATGTTTCTACAGCTTTGAGAAAATAGGCAGCCTGGTTGAGAAGAGATGGAGTCCTGTTTTGTTTATGCCCACGCTGAAGGGAAGGCTCCAGATAAGCACATTCACTGTTCAGCATCACCAATTCCCCCAGGGCAATGCAGTCTTCACACAAGGCCACAGAAATGCAAGTACCCTTGGTACTGCTGCTCATGGAGTAACCTTGTTTAAACAGTTGATTCTGCCCACGACTACTTCTTCCCTTCACCCTCCTTCTCCCATCTAAGTTTCCTTCTATGAGCTGACATAAACAAATTATTCCACAGAAACCTTTCTCAGCTGTAGATAAGAGTGGCTAATGCAGCTCTGTTAGCTATTTCAGAAAACAAACTCCAAGGCTGCCTTCCTATTAATAAAGTTTCCAAGCACCCTTGGAAATTTCCAAGCACCCTGCTACATCCAGGCCATTCACATCAAAGCAGTCTTGGGTCTGAGCTCAGTGCTCTGTGGGTCAGACATACTCACTAGGATATGCTGGTCTTGTCTGAAGAGAACTGGAGTGATCTCACTCTCTGCCAGCTGCACTCAGGTTAGTCCAAGTAACTCCCTGTTTTAACGCTGTTTCAGGCACTATTTCCTAAATCCTTGATTGTATCATCCAACCTAATGTGTTAGGTAAATGAATGGATCTTGCAGGCCCCTCTCTTAAAGGCAGCACCACTCAAGCCAGGATCATTCTGTGATGCTCATGGGCTGGAGGAAATGCCTGATCCCCACTTAGCAGCTGTGTTTGAGATGTCAGTTTGGACTGGGTTTTCCAGCAGTTTGGCTGAATCATTTATCTAAGGCCATGAAGAACAGCACAGCCTGCTTGAAGTGTGTGAAAAGACTTCTATTGACTCCACTGATCACTGAAACAAGCCTGGATTTTCCTGAATTGGTGTGGCTGCCTTGAAAGCTGGGAAGCATTGGTCTAGGCAGCTTTTACAAATGTATGTCCATTGCCACCTGTGTTAGAGCTGTGGTAATGAAGTATCCCACACACAATTCCACCCTCCATCTTCAGAAACTAATTGTCTGCAAAAAGGAATGACAAAGAAAGAAAATTACCTGAACAAAAGCCTTTGTCCTGGCTCCTTCCGGATAATATTTAGTTTGTAGTAGTGGCGTAGGGCTCTGGACATTTTCTCATAAGTCATATTTGTTCTGTTCTGTTTTTTAACAAAGAAAAAAGGAAAAATGTGGTGAGATGATTCATTAAAACCTTCCTAAGCCTGAAAAGGAGTTGCAGAACTATCACAGCTAGCTAAAGTAACCAAGTCAGTTCAAGTACTCAGAGGTTTCACACTTGTACTGCTTGCAGGCTCACCCTGCCCCCACAGACCTCATCAACAAATTTTTGTGGGTCTCTTCTCACTCAGGGCAATTTAAGCAAGGAGTCTAACAAAAATTCCAAGTGAGGTTTTTCTATAGTTTCTTGGAACACAGATAACAAAAGACTTAATTAACTACAAGAGGAGACATTAGGTGGAGAGAGATGCTCATGCCAAGTGGGATGTGACAGGCCTGTTCTTAATGAAAATACCTTTTGTAAAAGCCTAAGAACAGTGGCTAATAGTCTGAATCTGTCAGCAATCCCTGCTAAGAGCACTGTTCCTCTGGGATTCCCCTGCATTAACCAGTTAATGCTTACCAAGCACTGTGGAGATTGACAGCCTGTTTCTGCTCTTGTTATGAAGGTGTAAATCAAGAAGCCCATTAGGTTGTACATCTGCTTCTATGGCAGAGGGTACAGACAGAGCAGTGTGGTATACTGAGGTATGGCCCTGCTGAAGCTGTGTCACCAGACACAAGTGATGGATGCTGGCAGAGCTGTATGTGGGCAGCCCCCACAGACTTGGGATAGCAGGATCAGCCCCTTAGGCTATGTCTACATGAAGAGCATTTTTCTGGTACAAGGAGTAGTGGTTACTATGCTGGCAAAGAGACTCCCAGCAGAGACAACTATCCTGGCAAAGCTGTGTTTGTGTGAGTATAAAGCAGCCGCCTTGCCACGGGCAAAACATGCCAAGCTAGTAGGAGCATGCTTTCCTCTGTGAGCCTCCACTTTAGGGGTTTGGCTTCAGTGAGACTGATCCACCTGCCTAAAATGCCCTGTAAGAGCAGACTTCCTCTGCTTGCCCTGACCACGACAGCTCTGCTAAGGGAGGCCACATAAAGAGCTCCTGACAATCAAAAAGCAGCCGCCTTGCCACGGGCAAAACATGCCAAGCTAGTAGGAGCATGCTTTCCTCTGTGAGCCTCCACTTTAGGGGTTTGGCTTCAGTGAGACTGATCCACCTGCCTAAAATGCCCTGTAAGAGCAGACTTCCTCTGCTTGCCCTGACCACGACAGCTCTGCTAAGGGAGGCCACATAAAGAGCTCCTGACAATCAAACAAAACAAGCTAAGGGAGGCCACATAAAGAGCTCCTGTGACAATCAAACACTAACAAGAACAATGTTTTCCCTGCAAAATCTAGACTCTGGTCATTGGGAAGCCCCTCCGAAATACCACGTGTGCTTCTTCCATTTCGCATGTGCTAAAAGGCCACTGTGTTACCCAAGTGGCTAGTGGTCTGAAGTAGCTTCAGTTTTAGCCACTCAGCACATCCAGTCCCTCTGCTCAAAGCAGGTTCAACCAGAGATGGTTGCTCAGGACTGTGTCCAGTTGGGTTTTGAACATCTCCAAGAATGAAGACTCCACAGTCTCCTCTGGAAACTCCAGTGTCTGAGCATCTTCCTAGTAGAACAGTCCCACACCTGGAGTCACGTGAAATGCAACATGTGGCTACGTGAGTCTCACGACTCCTCAGGTCATTCCTCCTCAGGTGAGAGGACTTCACACTGTCCCTTAATAAATGTCATAAAGTCCTCATTAGCCCAAATCTCCACCATGTTCAGATCCATGCAGAAGACTGAGCACAACCCTCTGGTGTATCAGCTACTCCTCCCAGTTTTGTATTGTCTGAGAACCTGCTGAGATGCACTCTGTCCCATTATCCAGGTCATTCATGAACAAGTTAAACACTACTGCCCCAAAATCAATCCCTGGGGTACCATCACAAGTGACTGAATTTTGTGCCATTGACCACAATCTTTTCAGCCCAGCAAATCAGACAGTTTTCAATCCACCTCAACATATTCTTGTCTAGGTCATACTTTAAATTAGTCTGTCTATGAGGCTACTATGTAAGACAGTCTTAAAGGCTTTTCTAATACCAAGACAAGGCACTATTCTCCCCGAATTCACCAAGCTAATGATTTCATTGCAGACAGATAATACCAAGACAAGGCACTATTCTCCCTGAATTCACCAAGCTAATGATTTCGTTGCAGACAGGTATCACAATGGTCAAGCATGAGTTCCCTTTGCAAATGCATGCTGACTACTCATACATTCATATGAATATACTCATATACAAACACAGATTATCTATACATACTCAGTCCCAAACTGCAAAAACCACTAACTGTTTTCCAGAGAACAAAGTAGAATAACCTCTTAAAAGGAAATACATAATCCTGCAGCATTTGGTGTCTGTCACAGGACAGCATGTGAAAACTGAAAGTTGCTACAGACAGGAACACAGACAGAAAGCTCCTGCCAAGCTGTAGTAGAGACCTCCTCTAATCAGAATAACCTTAGCATCAGGTTTAGGGAAGAAATAAGATGCCTTGAGAGAGAAGGACTAATTTTTGCACTCCTTGTAATTTTACAATGACATGCATTTATAAACAAATGCCTTTAAACCAAACCAACAGGTTCTCTATATGAGGGGTAGGTTTTAGTGCTTGAGGATGGATGCTTTATATTTCTAACGCAGGTAGAACGAAGGACTGCAGCTTTCCAGCAGTAGTTTATAGGCACATCCTTTCTTCCTTTTCTCCTTGTTTATAAGTGAATCTCATGTTGTTACAGGAGGTTAAGTGCCATACAATGAAAATTGCAGAGTTTCCTTACCTTGTGGTTTCCCCACAGCCGGGCCAGCCCATTGGGATCCACTATCCGAAATATTTTGGATTCCTTATCTTCCCATCGGATGAAATTTTCGTACCGGCTGTCAGAAAGCAGTTGATAGACATAATCCCAAAGCAACCTACAGTCTGTGAACAGAGAAGCAAGAAAATATTGACTTTCTGTTTTCTTGGGATTAATTCTGGAAACTTTAGGGTAGATGTGTAGTGAAAGGAAGTTAGGATCAGGACTGAAACAGCTGCTGCAATCTGAAATGCAAATGGCTTGGCTGATAACTAGTAATGTGTGCAAAATGTACTGGAATATACAGTCTCTCCTCAAGTGTCCTAGTCCTTCTGACACTGAGCATCTTTATCACAATAAAAGCTGTGTGAGATGGCCTGCTGATCTTAGCTGTATGTTTATTGCTGTACTGAAGCACATAAAACTACCACTGTTGGCCCTGATGCTGTTGCTGGCTGTTTTACTGGAGAAATCAAGAATCCTGCAACTTGCTCTCTCTGCTTGAGGCTGCCCCTTTCTGTGCCAACATGGGAGGTCTAAAACATGGGCAACGTTACAGCTTTCCTTTGTATACTCCATCTGATCTAAACTTGACACCTTCTCCCATTTTTGAATTTCATTTTTGCCCTATTTTTTAAGGTTGCTGAAAAAATTTCCAAGTATTATAATTACTTGAGTGCTATTGAGAGGTTAAATACTTTCTATTTGGATAATTGAATTCAAATTTCTTCTTGGCAAACACTCCTTAGGTTGCTAATTAAAGGTCTAAAAGATACTTAGGTTTTAGTTCAGTGTTTTTCAGTTTCATGGCAGTCTCTTGAGACTGAGGAAGCCAAGAGCTGAGCTGCTCCTACTTCCTGTTTGCAATGTGTGTGTGCACAGCACAGCGTAACTGGGAACTATAAAATATGGAAAGTGAATTGTACAGAGCTGGGGGCACTGCTGCTGTCAGAAACAACAGAGTTTTTATAGCTCAACTGTCCAGATCCCTAAGATGCCCACATGGCTGCATTTTACTTTGAAAGCAACAGCAGCCTCTGAGATGGCTTGTTAGAGTTGTTAAAAGGCTGCCAACCAAAGACATCCAGCTTCAAAGTGCTAAAATGGACTCTTGTCAGCCTGTCTTTTTATTCCTGTCTGTCTGTCTGGGGCTGGCACATGTCACAATGGGGATGATGCCATATTCTGTATGAGAATGTAAAATGCTTTTTGAAAAAGGATATGAGTAACACATTTAATGAACACACCTGAAATGGTTAGATATTCATGTTAGTATTGCCCCACTTCCAACTGTAAACAGTATCTCTGAAACCTGTACTGTCTCTAAAACCAGAGCTTAGTTTGCCAGTGCCCTTACTATATACTCTCCCTACCAGTCTATGAAGAACAAAGCAGTCTATTTTGAAGAGATGACATCTGGCAAAAACTGCTGGTTTCCATTCTACCTCCCTGATGGTCACCTCATTCATGACATCTACAAGAGGAGGATGTGAAAGGAAAGAGGCAATCAGACTTTTTAGTTGAAAAAAAAATCTTATTTGCATAAGAAAATAATTTTCTGCAGAAAAATGTTCATTCCCACTTGAAATTTGTCTAGGTTTTAATTTAAAAAACGAAACCTGGGCATAAGGTTCTGTGGACTTCCCTGGACTATGTGGGAGGTCTGCAAAAGAGCATGAAAATGGAAGTCTCAGGCTACTTTAATTTCTGTTATCTTCCCTCTCACAAATTCACAAAACATGGTTCTTCCATTGCCTTTCTGTCAATATTCTTGATGTACACATATTAGAAAAAAACTTCTCTAGACTTCACTTATCAATCAAAAGAAAGGAGATTATGTTGCTCTACTGGTTTGTGCCTTTTAACATTGTGTGAAGTTCTCAGATAATAGGGTAGTAAGGGCTCATTTAAGTGGTTCCTTGACACACATGCAATTCATTCCAAAATGCTTTCAATGTGAGGCTGTATAGAAAACAGAGGTTTAGTGCAAGAAACCTTGGGGTCAAGTGGAGGGATGGTGCTCCTGCAGAGGCAAGTCAATGTCAGGCTTTGTCACAGTCCTGAATCTTCAATCTGGGGCAGGCAGCCTCTGATTGTAGCACCTTTGGGCTAATATTTACAGTTCTGCAGGGATATTATTTACACTAAACTTTACTTTCACCTCATTATTTGCAATAGGCAATGTTACTTTCAATCCCCACACACACACACACTGAGCTCCCTTCATCAAAACCAAGAAAGCACACAAAAAAATCAGCCTAAGATGTCTAGGTGGCAAATTATTAGACTAACAACAGAGCTTCAGGAGCTAAGAAGAGGTAGCATTCAAGTGCAGATTTGTATTTTGTTGTTCACTTTATTTCTAGAAAGGATTCAGGCTAGGCTTGAATATAAATATACCTCAAATGAGAAGAACTCGGATCTGCATCTTGAGATCTTCACAAGAAAAGTCCTACATGATCAAGGGCCCCATCCCATATTCCAAACTGACTGAGCTGCTCAGACTTGCAGAGGTATTTAGTAGGCTGGTGGAATTTGCAAAAAAAACTCCAACCACCCAAGTATCTTAGACTGCTATTTGCTTCAACAAGAAAGCTGAAAGTCCTTGAAAACTCTGTTTGGCTCCTACAACCACTTAAAAACTCATTTTCGAAAAGTGTAATTGTCTATCGGCAAATTTAGATATATGGCTCAGTTGCAATAGTTTAATGAGCTGGCATGCATCAGTGCAGCTGTGGCAACTGTGTCTCAACCCCCTGCAAATAGGAAATAAAAAGCATTAAACACCACCAGAAAATAGTTAGGCTCACTGCATTTCTTCTCAGCAGAGTTGAGAGCTACTGTTGGTTATCACAGACCAGCTGATGCTTTGCAGCACACTTTAGTTTATGCATGAGCTCTGTTTGCAGAGTACCTACATCAGCTTGCCTTCTTTCAAGTTTCACATGGGAACCCTTTAGGAATTCGAGTATGGGTACTCAGGGCTTTGTTTGATTTTAACCACAAATGATTTACACCCTGAGTATCTTTCTCAACAGATTGCACTGTAAAAAAAAATAGGAGGTTCTGGAGAGGTCTCCCTGACTGACAGAGAATCAGTAACTAGATAATTGACCAGTAGGCCAGTAGAGACCATCGTAAATAGGACATTAGAGACTATAGGTCAAAGACTACCTGATAACTCTTAGAGACTGTAATGAACTTGGAGTATAGCAGAGTCTATTTAGAGCACACTTCAAGCCTACAAAATTGGTCAAAACCCAAGAAGAAACAACGCTAGAAAATTAGCTATTAAAAGGAGTTTCTCCACTCAGAAAAGAGACACCTCCACCAAGGGCTGGTGAAGATGCTCTCAGGCACATGGTGAGATTCTTGAGGCTGTCCTGTGCAGGGCCTGGAGATGGATTTTGATGATCCTCATGGATTCCTTCCAACTCAGGACATTCTGTGATTCTATGACACAGAAAGCTATATCCTCCAGGAAGGTCAAAACTGTTATGTGTTTTCAGAAAGGATGGAGAAATGGAGAGGAGGACTTGTATGTGGACGGTTATTTTGTAAGTGTAAATCACTTGCTTGAGGAAAGTCTGGATGATGTGAATGACTCCATGAAGACTAATCACCTCCTTGGCTGTCAAAGCACCTTCAAAGGAGTTGCCACATGAGGGGACTCTCCATGGAGTGTGTGTTGCCTAGTGAGTAATGGCAAGAAAGCACATGGATACTGCTGAGGCATAGCAAGTTTAAAAGTGTGGGAGATTCAATAGGGAAGTTGAGTCAGGGCTGGTACATAAATTGTTTGGGCATGCTGCAATTTCCTGCCTTTTTCCTTAAATAAGCTTACTTAGAAAGTAACTGTGCCCTCGTAGCACAAGGAAACATCATTTCCCCCCAGCACACACACACACACACATTTTTTAACAAGCGAACTCAGATGATTGAACTTTGTACAATCTAAAGCTAAAGGGACTTAGCTGTGGAGAGAGCTGGGACTGAGAGGCTTTTAAAGTGATGAGGTACAGAACAATCTAGCTGCAGTGGGAAGGTGGTGAAAGGCCCAGCAATGTGCCAGGGCTCCTAAATGCTGGTGTTCCCATGTCCTACCATCTTCTCAGTTGTACTACTAGACAAGACTGAACTACGTAAGTAGCTGGGAATTAGGGTCTTCAAATAGCAAGGCATGGTTACAACTTTCCTTCTGAAGCCAATCCTTCTAGAGGGATTTTTATAGTTATGCACAAGGTACTGATAAGGTGTAGAGTATTTAGCTGTTTCTGAGAATGCCATAAGCACTGCCCTACATGTGCAAGAGGCAGCAGTTTCACACTCCCACTACTAACAGCCACGTCTTGTGCAGTCCCAAGGTTAGCAGAGATAGAGTAAAGCCCTGGGGTTGGCTTCCCACTCCTGGCTGCTGCTTGCCTGCCGTGGCTGACACTAGGCACAAGAAAAATAGGCAGCTACACAGCTCTGGAATGGGTCAGGGAGGAGAGGCAGAGCACTTGGGGTTTACAGAGTATGAAGAAATCCCTTCTATAAACAGCAGTTGCTGGCTTTAAACTCCGCTGACAGCAGAACGCTTGCCTTCTTTAGTTTTAACCCCTCCTTTCACGTGGCAGAAGTGGCCAAACCTCAGCAGCTCTTCCCTGGTGTGGTAAAAATCTAATTTCTCTTTTCTGGCTGAAAAGCTCTGTTTACTGCCCACACTTAAAGCACAGCTTTGGTGATGCTACATAAAGGGGGAGACTGTAATATTGTCATTAAGAGTCCCTTGTGACACTCAAACAGACACTGTGAGTGTGTGTATTGTAGATTCATTTCAAATATGCCTTAAGACTATAGGCACAGACTTCTGAAAATACACCTAGAGAACACTGGCAAATGAAGACTTCCTAATGTCTATATGATGGTAATAAATATCTCCTAGGATTGAAATACCACCTCAAAATGATCTGTAAATTAAACATGATGCATCTTATGTTCTAGTATTTTGACATTTGTCCAGCCATTACGAATGACTTCTCTACTATCATTTGGCCAAGGTCATCTTCATGTTGCAGTAGTGAGAGGTCTTATATCTGTGTTCCCTAGGACTAAATAATGCTGTCTAGGCATATACAGGCTA